CCTTGGTGAGTTCATGTGGCAGTTAAATGCAAATACCTGGATATCAAATAATACCATTTGGGTAATTTCTCATTCATATGTTTAAAGCAATATGGAACATAACGTATCGGCTGCATCTACTTGTAATGTCTGAGCCACATATTCCTAAAAATGTAAAATACACACGTAAACTGTTAGGTCTTTGCGACAATGTTGCTTGTGCTAGTCCGGACGTATGAGGTTTTGATTGTTCTGTCCCACTGAGATGCCATGCTGCAGATTTTATATGCATATATGCATATCCCACACGGTACACTGAATCCGAGCAAGCCAGTCTTATTTTTTCCCTTCATGCAGAGCGCCAGGCAGGGTAAGAATAAGTACCATATTTTAAAGTCATGTGGCATGACGCGGCCATAAGACAGAACCACCGGCCTTATGCACCCCAGGCAGACATTCTATCCATTACATCACAGATACGATTAGACTAACATTCATTCCCAGAAATAATGTTATCATATCTGAAAATATATATCTAGAGAAAAGGATGGTTGCCATAACAGTGCTTAGTTTCAGGGACTAACCAAATCTGCAAATCTGATGAAATTTCTGGAATATTGTCATTTATTCTCTAGGGTTTGGGAGACTAATATAGTAATCCTCGTATCCTCGAATGTTAAATACATATACAATCTCTATTCATGTATAGATGGCTTATTGCCTCTATGCACCGAAAAAAGAAGAAATAATTGATAGCTAAATAGCAATGTCAATTACCTTTTTCAGTCTGTGGCAGTGTTGGATGATTTCTGTTGGCAGGTATATATGCATGGAAGTCTACGTGCTTATATATACACGTCAAGGATGCAAATATGAAGTTAAAATACACGCTCATCACCCACATCACCATTAATAATGTTGTAAAATGAAATATATCACCTAATGGAACTACCGTCGGAATCGAATCGTGCACGGTGACCAATAAAGGTGTTTGATAACACCTCCATCTGTTACTTGAAAGGCACACGCCATTTCATCAATATGATGATCATATTCAATTCATATTCAGTTCAGTTTCCATATCTGCGCTTGTAGACCTCTGCGGCTTTGAACCTTTTTCCCAAATTAAAACAGTTGGTGTGGCCGAAATATATCCGAACTGTTTCTTTTTTCGTTTTGTCGTTGTGTGAACATCTGACTGCACTTTCTAACGTTATGACAGGACAATCAGTCTGGCAAGAAATGTAACGTCTCATAGACAAGGGTTAGATTAACTTCCCTTTTACAAAGGACACTCACTCAACGGGTCGGACCGATGGATTGCCGTGAAAGGCAAGCATATATGCAGTTACGCCACTGTTTCAGAAACAGGTTTGAGTTGGAACTATATAGACTATTGTCACTGTCCGACTGACACATCACTTACCTTCTGACGTAACATTCAAAGAAAACTTGCGATGTTCAGGTCATGTTTGTAAGAGATGGGAAGAGATTTATCGAGCACAGAATTGAAAAATGACAATATATGACAAAGAGGTTATTTACCATCCCCAAACACACAAGCGTGATAAACTCTACATAATCTCCTTCTCTCAACGTGGATGTTGTTGTCATGAATCCCAACATGATTTGGGGATCACCAGTAATGCAATCCCTTATTTTGTGCATTTTCGAAGAAGGAAATAAGAAGGATTTTATTTACCTTTGTGCAGCAACTTGTTTTTTCACAAATTCCAAGATAAGAAACGGTAATTTATGGTCAATTCCTTAAAAATCAAAATTAAACAGTATTTTGTTTGTTTGTTGTTTAACGTCGCACTCAGCAATATTCCAGCTATATGACGGCGGTCTGTAAAATAATCGAGTCTGGACCAGACAATCCGATGATTAATATCATGAGCATCGATCCACGAAATTGGGATACGATGACATGCATCAACCAAGTCAGCGAGCCTTACCACCCGATTTCGTTAGTCGCCTTTTACGGCAAGCATGGGTTGCTGAAGACCTATTCTACCCCGGGTCAAAATTAAACAGTAAGCATTACTATAACTGACATATAATCACAGTGGGCGTGTATATTTACATCTATTTATATACATACTGATGATTACTAAACTGTTAATATAAAACATCAACGCCAGATAAATTCATCCTCCATTACCCGCTCAAACAGATTTCATTGTCTCCAACAGGTAAATTACTGGTGAACATGAATTTATGGATGGAAATTAAAAATTGATAGCAAGCTAAATTTGTTTGTTTGTTTGTGGTTTAACACAGCAGTCAGCAATATTCCAGCTATATAATGGCGGTCTGTAAATAGTCGAATCTTGACCAGACAATCCAGTGATAAACATCACGAGCGTCAACATTTTCCAGTTGCTTTGGGAATTAAGTGCATGTACAGAATTGAAATATCACGCAAATGCTCATTTTTACTTGCAGTTAAGCTTGTCAATAGCGAACGTTCCCTAGTCATCAAATTCAGTTCCCCAAAGTCCAAACCCTCTTGGCCAAGCACCAGGTTTTAACAAAAAGAATAATCACTCAAGCCATAGAAATCAAATGTCACAAATTGAACAACAGAGATCAAGGGTATTACACCCTGTCTGCCTATGAAGATATATTCAAGCAAAAGACTCTTTTTAATTAGTATCCAATCAGCTTGTTTCAAAGGGTTAATCCTTACTGTACATCTTGCTTCATTACCTGTGGACTATTTGTTACTCTCACTGTACATGACGCTTTCTAGAATCATGTGTGCACTACTTGTTACTCATGAGCTGTTGCTACTGTTATATGCTGCTTGTCACAACATATCATGTACCTGACATTATTTTGTCGTAGTCAAGGTGTAAGAACCTACATCAAAACGTCGCTATAGGTTACACACAACCAAATGTTTTCCCATAGACTTCTATAGTAACGTTATAGCTTTTTAAAAAACAACTAGGCATTCAACAGCCATAACATTTACATATGTGCACAGTCTGGCCTTAAAGCTGCAATAAAAACACAAATTTTGGCTAGTTTACCCAGCTCCTTTTCCGAGTACAGGAAGCTGAACACACCAACCCCAGTTCCGCACCAAATATCACCTGCTTGAAAATATCTGTGCTCACATAAAGCACAAGTCATCTTGTTCAAAAAGTCAGCACCAAATATTGAAAAATATGGGCAGTTTTAATTACTGGATGGATGTGCATTTAAAAGACATAAAAATCTTACACAATATCATCCAATCACAGCCTGCATATGTCTCTTGATCTGTACTGAAGGCTCCCTACGAAAACCGCACTGTCACAACCAGTTCTGATTTAGTGTAGTAGAACCTGTAGACACAACTGTCTAAAACTGCACTTGTCAAATTTGTGATGTATTCATTGTAAATAGATGTAGCTTCTTGGAAACAAATGGAAATTGTTTCAAGTTCAATACTTTTTCCTATCTGACAGGTCTATATGACACCCATATACACATATCTGATGTACCAAAAGAGCTGTGAGGGTTAAATTATTTAGATTTTGTCAACTGATTACAAAATGAACTTCTGTTTTAATAAAGAACTTTCTATGACAGTACACAGGCCTTTATTGTTTATTCTTGTTTCACACAAGGATGGGTTCACAGGTCAATTCCATGGTTGCCAGACGCTGCTTCGAACATATCCCCCCAAAAGTATCTTTTCGACCCCGTTTGATAGACAATACTTGGAAATTCAAAGCAAATTAGGCTTTCATATTTTTAATTTATTAATGGTGAGTTGTTTGCTGACCTTTGCTGATAACAACTGAGGATAGCAAAGTCTGGTACATAACATGGAATTTGGTTGTGACACTAATAAGCTTAAGTCATAAAAGAAGCTGGACTCAGTGAGCTTGCTGGAACTGGTACCCCTGCCTTGTTTACATAGGCCAATATATAAATGACAGGTCCATATTTGGTATTTTAACTATGGGAGGTCAAGAACCAATGTTGATGCTTTCATTCCAAAGAAAAATTCATAGTGTCAACATCTTGAACCTACTCTTGAAACATGGGGAGACATCGAAGGAATTCGATAACATCTTTTAGAATGGGACATAAAGCTTGGAATTCAGGCAAAAAATTCACCAGTGAAAAGCAAAGCAACTTTAAAGTGCCAAAAACTGTCAGGTTGACAACTGAGCTCCACAAGAAAGTGTGCAGTGTAGGGGTGGCTGGTGTCCAGCAAGTTCAAACACTGACAAGTGAACCGTACCGTCTGTTAAGGCCAAGGAAGGAAAACACCCCTGAGGAGGATAAGAGTTCCCTGAAAACAAAAAGTGAAAGGTAATAACACTTTAAACTATTTATTCCTTTGGCCTAGACTTTGAAATACTTGTAGGGAATACAAGATGCTCACTGCTAAATGATATGGGTGGATAAACTTACCAAGTTCAAGTATTTGTCCTTTAACGAGATCACTTAATAAAAGTTTAATATAATGGATAGTTTTCAGTTATTAGGTACAGCAAGGGATCAAATTCTCATACATATATGAGTGGTTTGTTCAATACCATATAAAAAACAGTGTTGTTACACCCTAATTAAGGGCTTGAGGGGGATAGAAATAGAATATGCATTTGATCTGCCAGGGGAGATAATTCAGAAATGTCGAACACTATCACATACTTAAAAGGCTTATTTAGAAGTTTTCAAAGTAGTCAATGGGTTTTCTTTAATCTGCAGGACTGCTGCTGATGTTTACCACCTGTTGCATGTTGGAGAGACTGACAAACTGTACAATGAGGCATTCCGCCAGCACGCCAAGACTTCGCCTATGTGTAAGGGGGACATTGTCATGGACATAGACAATGAACAGCAGTGGGGACTTAACTGGATAGAGAGACTTAAATGCACTGACTGTACATACCTGTCAGAGTACCATAAACTGTACAAGGAGGTAGAGGGTAGTGGAATGAGAAGGGGACGTCGATCTTCCACTGCCAATACTGGACTTCAGATAGGCCTCTCAAAATGTCCCATTGGAAGTGAGAGTTTCCGTGTCCTGTGCATGAGTGCCGATATACCTCCACCATCCCATTCAGGGATGCAGAAAGCTGCGAACAGAGTTTGTGATAATATAAAATCTCAGAACACAAAGGATATGAGAGCCAGGAGGGTGGAAATAAGGGAAATAAATAAATACAGGGGAACAAATTTAAATAACATTAGTTTATCAACTGATGCAATGTACAACAATCCACTTTGTTCAGGTGTTGGGAAAACCCCTTTTCAGCCAGCCACTCAGGTAACCTATGTGGCCACTGAGAACCAAACTAGTGATCATCAAATTTTGGCTTTAAACACAAAATCAAAGCTCTGTTCAAAGCACAGTTTAGTTGACAACATTTCTTGTGTCAACAACCCAGACTGCACATCTGATTTGCACATGTCAGAATCAATTGGTAATGAAAAACAGTTAGCTGCAGAGTGTTTCAGGGACTTAAAGAAAGATCAAATTGAGGTAGAATTTTTGACAACAGATGCTGACAGTGCAGCTCACACAGCTCTCTCTGAAATGTATGAAGCAGGTGATATGGATGTTTCCCCACAAACTTTTCTCGATACACGGCATCTCTCGGCCAGCCATAGAAAGTTTATTAAAAATTCTAAATTTGTTGTGGATATGATGCCTGCTAGAACCAAAAAAGACAAACAAAGTTTGGCAAATACATTTTCTTTAGACTGTGCATCCAGATGTGCAGCTGAGTTCTCAGCTGCTTACTCAAGTCATGCAGGTAACCTGACAAAGTTGAAGACATCTCTTTCATGTACTTCTGATGCTATTGCAAACTGTTACATGGGTGATCACAGAAAATGTAGAAGGCAGTCATTTGTTTGCAAGGGGGAGAAGAAAAATTGGTTATTGCAAAGTAAATATTTAGATGAAAACTTCAAAATTGGAAACAATGAAACTAACTTTCAAAATTTGAGAAAATGCACTGATTTTCGTCTCGGGCCGAACATGATCGAAAAGACGCAATTCAACCTCAATAGTCAAAAGTGTGAGGCAACAAACAAGGCATTGCGCCGGTCATTACCTCGCGATACCACCTTTGCTCGTAACTTCCAAGGTAGAGCTCACAGTGCTGTTCATAGCGTCAACTGCCAGAGTCCGGTAAAGTCAATTCGCAATCTTCGATTAGGGCTTGGCTGTGCTGTCACTGCAAAAGGAAAAATAGATGATGAGATAAGCAAAAGTCATAATAAAGTACTTAAAGCTAAAACATACAAGAAATCACAGAAAAGTAAGGACCGCCGTGCAAGGAAAAAGTTAGAACTATTCAAACTCCATCATTGTAGAAAAGTTCATTATTCGAAAGACATGTTATTGAAAAGAAATGCATATTTGAGAAATTTACACCCAAAATAGGATAATCCATCTTAAAAATTGCCCCAAACAGAAAGATATAATGATCAGATACATAACTTACACCAAACAGTAGGGTTTATGACTTTTGGTGCACAAGCCCTGTTGTCGACAGTGAAGTCTCTCCATGTTAATTTCATGGGACTCTACTTTCAAATGCTCAACATTCACACAAGAGGCGTTATGACAGAGATGGCTCACTTCAACTTTGTTGCCAAAGTTGTCAGTGTTGCTAAAACCATCTGGAAGGCATTTATGCACAATGCAGAGGGCTATTCTGTGAGCTCTCTCCTCTGTCCGCGCCTTTGACGGCCACAAAAAGAAGCAACGACCATAGCCCTGCTTATCACGGCAGCCCAACCATTCCTTACAACCCCATTTCCCACTCGCTTCACCCATTTTGCGTTCAAATTTGCCTCTACAATTATCCCAAAAGGTCTCCATGGCAATAGATATACAGAAAAACATATAAATTAGGAAATGCTGAAATATGCACTTACCCTACAGGTTACACACAACCAAATGTTTTCCCATAGACTTCTATAGTAACGTTATAGCTTTTTAAAAAACAACTAGGCATTCAACAGCCATAACATTTACATATGTGCACAGTCTGGCCTTAAAGCTGCAATAAAAACACAAATTTTGGCTAGTTTACCCAGCTCCTTTTCCGAGTACAGGAAGCTGAACACACCAACCCCAGTTCCGCACCAAATATCACCTGCTTGAAAATATCTGTGCTCACATAAAGCACAAGTCATCTTGTTCAAAAAGTCAGCACCAAATATTGAAAAATATGGGCAGTTTTAATTACTGGATGGATGTGCATTTAAAAGACATAAAAATCTTACACAATATCATCCAATCACAGCCTGCATATGTCTCTTGATCTGTACTGAAGGCTCCCTACGAAAACCGCACTGTCACAACCAGTTCTGATTTAGTGTAGTAGAACCTGTAGACACAACTGTCTAAAACTGCACTTGTCAAATTTGTGATGTATTCATTGTAAATAGATGTAGCTTCTTGGAAACAAATGGAAATTGTTTCAAGTTCAATACTTTTTCCTATCTGACAGGTCTATATGACACCCATATACACATATCTGATGTACCAAAAGAGCTGTGAGGGTTAAATTATTTAGATTTTGTCAACTGATTACAAAATGAACTTCTGTTTTAATAAAGAACTTTCTATGACAGTACACAGGCCTTTATTGTTTATTCTTGTTTCACACAAGGATGGGTTCACAGGTCAATTCCATGGTTGCCAGACGCTGCTTCGAACATATCCCCCCAAAAGTATCTTTTCGACCCCGTATGATAGACAATACTTGGAAATTCAAAGCAAATTAGGCTTTCATATTTTTAATTTATTAATGGTGAGTTGTTTGCTGACCTTTGCTGATAACAACTGAGGATAGCAAAGTCTGGTACATAACATGGAATTTGGTTGTGACACTAATAAGCTTAAGTCATAAAAGAAGCTGGACTCAGTGAGCTTGCTGGAACTGGTACCCCTGCCTTGTTTACATAGGCCAATATATAAATGACAGGTCCATATTTGGTATTTTAACTATGGGAGGTCAAGAACCAATGTTGATGCTTTCATTCCAAAGAAAAATTCATAGTGTCAACATCTTGAACCTACTCTTGAAACATGGGGAGACATCGAAGGAATTCGATAACATCTTTTAGAATGGGACATAAAGCTTGGAATTCAGGCAAAAAATTCACCAGTGAAAAGCAAAGCAACTTTAAAGTGCCAAAAACTGTCAGGTTGACAACTGAGCTCCACAAGAAAGTGTGCAGTGTAGGGGTGGCTGGTGTCCAGCAAGTTCAAACACTGACAAGTGAACCGTACCGTCTGTTAAGGCCAAGGAAGGAAAACACCCCTGAGGAGGATAAGAGTTCCCTGAAAACAAAAAGTGAAAGGTAATAACACTTTAAACTATTTATTCCTTTGGCCTAGACTTTGAAATACTTGTAGGGAATACAAGATGCTCACTGCTAAATGATATGGGTGGATAAACTTACCAAGTTCAAGTATTTGTCCTTTAACGAGATCACTTAATAAAAGTTTAATATAATGGACAGTTTTCAGTTATTAGGTACAGCAAGGGATCAAATTCTCATACATATATGAGTGGTTTGTTCAATACCATATAAAAAACAGTGTTGTTACACCCTAATTAAGGGCTTGAGGGGGATAGAAATAGAATATGCATTTGATCTGCCAGGGGAGATAATTCAGAAATGTCGAACACTATCACATACTTAAAAGGCTTATTTAGAAGTTTTCAAAGTAGTCAATGGGTTTTCTTTAATCTGCAGGACTGCTGCTGATGTTTACCACCTGTTGCATGTTGGAGAGACTGACAAACTGTACAATGAGGCATTCCGCCAGCACGCCAAGACTTCGCCTATGTGTAAGGGGGACATTGTCATGGACATAGACAATGAACAGCAGTGGGGACTTAACTGGATAGAGAGACTTAAATGCACTGACTGTACATACCTGTCAGAGTACCATAAACTGTACAAGGAGGTAGAGGGTAGTGGAATGAGAAGGGGACGTCGATCTTCCACTGCCAATACTGGACTTCAGATAGGCCTCTCAAAATGTCCCATTGGAAGTGAGAGTTTCCGTGTCCTGTGCATGAGTGCCGATATACCTCCACCATCCCATTCAGGGATGCAGAAAGCTGCGAACAGAGTTTGTGATAATATAAAATCTCAGAACACAAAGGATATGAGAGCCAGGAGGGTGGAAATAAGGGAAATAAATAAATACAGGGGAACAAATTTAAATAACATTAGTTTATCAACTGATGCAATGTACAACAATCCACTTTGTTCAGGTGTTGGGAAAACCCCTTTTCAGCCAGCCACTCAGGTAACCTATGTGGCCACTGAGAACCAAACTAGTGATCATCAAATTTTGGCTTTAAACACAAAATCAAAGCTCTGTTCAAAGCACAGTTTAGTTGACAACATTTCTTGTGTCAACAACCCAGACTGCACATCTGATTTGCACATGTCAGAATCAATTGGTAATGAAAAACAGTTAGCTGCAGAGTGTTTCAGGGACTTAAAGAAAGATCAAATTGAGGTAGAATTTTTGACAACAGATGCTGACAGTGCAGCTCACAAAGCTCTCTCTGAAATGTATGAAGCAGGTGATATGGATGTTTCCCCACAAACTTTTCTCGATACACGGCATCTCTCGGCCAGCCATAGAAAGTTTATTAAAAATTCTAAATTTGTTGTGGATATGATGCCTGCTAGAACCAAAAAAGACAAACAAAGTTTGGCAAATACATTTTCTTTAGACTGTGCATCCAGATGTGCAGCTGAGTTCTCAGCTGCTTACTCAAGTCATGCAGGTAACCTGACAAAGTTGAAGACATCTCTTTCATGTACTTCTGATGCTATTGCAAACTGTTACATGGGTGATCACAGAAAATGTAGAAGGCAGTCATTTGTTTGCAAGGGGGAGAAGAAAAATTGGTTATTGCAAAGTAAATATTTAGATAAAAACTTCAAAATTGGAAACAATGAAACTAACTTTCAAAATTTGAGAAAATGCACTGATTTTCGTCTCGGGCCGAACATGATCGAAAAGACGCAATTCAACCTCAATAGTCAAAAGTGTGAGGCAACAAACAAGGCATTGCGCCGGTCATTACCTCGCGATACCACCTTTGCTCGTAACTTCCAAGGTAGAGCTCACAGTGCTGTTCATAGCGTCAACTGCCAGAGTCCGGTAAAGTCAATTCGCAATCTTCGATTAGGGCTTGGCTGTGCTGTCACTGCAAAAGGAAAAATAGATGATGAGATAAGCAAAAGTCATAATAAAGTACTTAAAGCTAAAACATACAAGAAATCACAGAAAAGTAAGGACCGCCGTGCAAGGAAAAAGTTAGAACTATTCAAACTCCATCATTGTAGAAAAGTTCATTATTCGAAAGACATGTTATTGAAAAGAAATGCATATTTGAGAAATTTACACCCAAAATAGGATAATCCATCTTAAAAATTGCCCCAAACAGAAAGATATAATGATCAGATACATAACTTACACCAAACAGTAGGGTTTATGACTTTTGGTGCACAAGCCCTGTTGTCGACAGTGAAGTCTCTCCATGTTAATTTCATGGGACTCTACTTTCAAATGCTCAACATTCACACAAGAGGCGTTATGACAGAGATGGCTCACTTCAACTTTGTTGCCAAAGTTGTCAGTGTTGCTAAAACCATCTGGAAGGCATTTATGCACAATGCAGAGGGCTATTCTGTGAGCTCTCTCCTCTGTCCGCGCCTTTGACGGCCACAAAAAGAAGCAACGACCATAGCCCTGCTTATCACGGCAGCCCAACCATTCCTTACAACCCCATTTCCCACTCGCTTCACCCATTTTGCGTTCAAATTTGCCTCTACAATTATCCCAAAAGGTCTCCATGGCAATAGATATACAGAAAAACATATAAATTAGGAAATGCTGAAATATGCACTTACCCTACAGGTTACACACAACCAAATGTTTTCCCATAGACTTCTATAGTAACGTTATAACATTTACATATGTGCACAGTCTGGCCTTAAAGCTGCAATAAAAACACAAATTTTGGCTAGTTTACCCAGCTCCTTTTCCGAGTACAGGAAGCTGAACACACCAACCCCAGTTCCGCACCAAATATCACCTGCTTGAAAATATCTGTGCTCACATAAAGCACAAGTCATCTTGTTCAAAAAGTCAGCACCAAATATTGAAAAATATGGGCAGTTTTAATTACTGGATGGATGTGCATTTAAAAGACATAAAAATCTTACACAATATCATCCAATCACAGCCTGCATATGTCTCTTGATCTGTACTGAAGGCTCCCTACGAAAACCGCACTGTCACAACCAGTTCTGATTTAGTGTAGTAGAACCTGTAGACACAACTGTCTAAAACTGCACTTGTCAAATTTGTGATGTATTCATTGTAAATAGATGTAGCTTCTTGGAAACAAATGGAAATTGTTTCAAGTTCAATACTTTTTCCTATCTGACAGGTCTATATGACACCCATATACACATATCTGATGTACCAAAAGAGCTGTGAGGGTTAAATTATTTAGATTTTGTCAACTGATTACAAAATGAACTTCTGTTTTAATAAAGAACTTTCTATGACAGTACACAGGCCTTTATTGTTTATTCTTGTTTCACACAAGGATGGGTTCACAGGTCAATTCCATGGTTGCCAGACGCTGCTTCGAACATATCCCCCCAAAAGTATCTTTTCGACCCCGTATGATAGACAATACTTGGAAATTCAAAGCAAATTAGGCTTTCATATTTTTAATTTATTAATGGTGAGTTGTTTGCTGACCTTTGCTGATAACAACTGAGGATAGCAAAGTCTGGTACATAACATGGAATTTGGTTGTGACACTAATAAGCTTAAGTCATAAAAGAAGCTGGACTCAGTGAGCTTGCTGGAACTGGTACCCCTGCCTTGTTTACATAGGCCAATATATAAATGACAGGTCCATATTTGGTATTTTAACTA